CAGACAGTCAGAACCCAGCATGTGGGTTCTGACTGTTTATCCTAAAGGCGTGATGCCCTGACCCTCCAAGTTTGTCTTCACACCATTCCGGCCAACCCTAGGTGTTTTCATTTTAAGAGTGGAATCATTAACACATTCTAGGATCTGTCTTTTTTTCCACTTTGGAACGTGATTCAAGTTCAGCTGTGCTTGAAAGTGTATAAAACTACAACGTGGAGAAGAGGACTAAACATACATTGTGGGAATTACCTCAGCTCTTAGCATGGATTCTAATTAAAACCAAACTTCTTTCCTTCAATGAACAAACATGACAGGCGCTGAGCAGAGGAGATTTTTTTTCTCCATTCTTGCCAAGATATTAAGTGAGTGCAGGTGCTGCAGGAATGTCTACAAGGGAAGAGGCAATGCAGAGCGGACCTTGTTCCTTCTCTATTGTGGAGGCGTGTGTGTTTATTTACGCCTCTGACCATGTGTTGCCTCCAAACGCTCCCTGTTTAAAGCACACCTAACAGCTTTTCTTAGCACTCTTGTGGAGCATTACTAAAGTAAATGATTGTTAGGTAGGTTGAAGGAGTCGGGGGGCTGCTCAAAGCAGGACCAGATGCAAAAGGCCAGCTCCCAGCCCTGATTGAAAGTGGCTCGCATGAGTCTCTGCAGAGGTGCAGCGGATAGGTTCATTTCCAGCACAATGGGAACTCAGCCGTCAAACATGATTGAACTGAGGCCTCCCTAATCACTTTGCCACCCTGCTGCTGCTATAATTGTTCATTACTCATTAGAAATGTCCATTCATGGCTATAATTCATTCTCATTAGCTGAGTTGAAAGTTGCGGCAGTTCCGTTCCTGGACGTTTGCAGTCACTGTGGCGTGTCTCCCAGCCATCAGCAGGAATTGTTGGCCTGCAGTGCAGGTGGGGCTGGATATTTTGACAACCTCCTATGGGTCAAACATGCTTCAACAGAGGGGCAGTTGGTGGAAGAGGACACCTGGTCTAGAATGACGCCTTGAGGGCAGGCATCCAGGTGAATGGCTTCAGGACAGGTGGCTAAAATGGGGCCATATTGATTTAAGGTAAAGAGAAGAGGTCGGTTTCAACCCTCAGGTAGTTTCTCGAGAATGGACACAACTTTTCCATTTGTCACTCATATGCCATATAGGAACATACCTGTCCCCTACAGATCCAATGTTTACTTTAGGGAACTATGTAGGACTGAATAAAATGGATTACCAGATAAACTCGTATAAAGTTTATGAAACTGACCTTTGTGCAACTAAACTAAGAGAAAAATTGTTACACACACTATGTTTAACCACACACACCCAACATTAGACACGGACAAAAAGAGACATTAGTCATTATAGAAAATTCTTTGAGAATAAAAACAAAAACACAATCCCTAATGGCATTTTAAAAAACTGGAAACCTACGTATGCAACCAGTCTAACTCTGTTTTTCTACAAAACAGGTTGAAAAAAGCAAGAGCAGGTACATCTAGCATAAACAAGAAGGACCCTGTCACTGTTTCTGCCACTACAGATGTGAGTTACTTTAAGGAACGTTTGCAGATAATTAGGCGGGTTTATTATTTTAGTTTGAACCGCAGATGACAGCCCACACAGCAGGGAGCCAGAGAATCTTCTGCCAGATGTCATTCAGAAACCAATAAATAATGTCTGGCTCTGTTGTTATTGCTATCAGAGCCTACCTCTGTGTTACTGCGTGGGAATACTGATCTTTGATCACTCAGTTAGCATATAGTCCAAGTTACATCGGCATCTTTCTTACCTTTCATTTTTGCAATCAAAAACCAGATGTTACCAGTTGCATTTAGACCTATTTCCATTTTGTTCTTGCCAAAGTGAGCTGCAAAGTAAAAACTGGCAGTTTGTACACTGATCAACACCCCCTCATACCCTCTCTGGCCTTGGATAAATGTTGGCTCTCCCAATCACGTCTGCCTCTGGCATTCCTCCTGAGCCCCGCCTCGTAGGGCCAGGCGCCTTGGCACGGCGCTGACCGGGGAATTTTCCACAGGTCGTCAGTGGAAGGGGCATACAGGCCTACCTTTGTTTGTACCCGTGCTCTCCGAGAAACACACACTCTCTCCTTTTTGCAGCGGCCGTCACAAACTCTGGGCGAGGCACAAATACCGTCCCACAAATGGCAATCAGGGGGGTTTGGCTGAGTCCAGATGTTTGCGCTTTTATTTTTCCTAAATGTTTATATATATATAAAAAAATAAATAATAAAAATTCATTACATTTATTTGGTTGTGACATGACTGTTGGCTGTAAAGACCTGGGAATATTGCCAGGTGCATAAACTGTGCATCAGTGAAGTCAATGTGGGCTCATATGGTCTGAAAGTCATAAAAAGAGAGAAAACTTGTAAATAAAAATCCAAAAGAAAGTCATTTAAAGATATAAAGACATAAAGTTGCTTTAAGGAATGAACAAACTACAGTCCACTTGGCATTAAAACTGGACAGTCAAGGTTGAAATGGTTGTCAGAGCTTTGTGTGAGCTGACCTGATGAGAAAGACTCTGGGATTATTCCCATGTAAAGACAGAAGCCTTCCCCCCACTCCAAGCTTGTTACCCGCAGGGCTGCTCTGAGGCCCCCTGGTGGCAGGTTAATTAAAGCACCATAGCATAGCCAAGCTGCAGTAACTCTCCCAAATCCACAGAGAATGACCACAGCCATGGGAGCTCCTAATCCTGTTTGCGTCCATCGGGGAACACTTCAGTCCCAGCCGGAAGATGGGGAGGTTGGATTCTCAAACAAAGACCCAGTGGAAAGTGGGGGAGCCTGGGGAAGGTGTGTAGCAGTGAGAGAGAGGGGGTATAAGCAAACCTGCATTCAACATCACCCCATGTCTCCTTCTGTTTTACTGCTTTTGTTGCTGAAAAACAATCTGCAGAACCTCCCTTTTCCTCTGTAACTTGCCCTGACATATCTGACAGGCTCAGCACCGTTTTGATTCCCCTAGTTCACTGAACAGGAAGAGATCTGGGGAAAATGCAACCCACCCAACCATGACGATGCTTTAGACTGTTTCATCTAAATTTAGTTTGAACAACTTCCAAAGATGCAGCTTGGATAACAACTCTCTGACCTTCACCAGCTCATTTCCTTGAGTATTAGTGTTAAAAAAGCTTAATTCGTGTTCCCTCGCTTGACTTGTTCTTTATTTCAACAGGCTCAGCTCATAAAATGCTGCCTCACTAGTTTCACTGCTCATACAGACAATAATCCCCTACCTTAAGAAGACAGGGCATGAGAGGAAAGGGCATGGTAATCCGGCCCACAGGTTTGTCCCCTCTCTGCAGGGGGACTGGGACCTACCTTACCCTCCTGTGAGCTCCCACAAATAACCCCAAAAATCTTATTCTGTCCTCATTAACAAAGCCAGCAGGAGCAACAGAAACACAGCTCTGTGCACTGCATGCACATGAGCTACAGGCTGCACCTGTGCAGGATGTAGACTGGGCAGAGAACTCTGCAGGGTGTAGACAGGACTGAGCACCTTGTAAGTGCTTACAGGACGGTATATGCACTCAGTATGATGTGTTGACTAATTTCCAACAAGGCTGCTAAAAACTTTATGCGCCGCTCATCCCTGAACAGGCGGCGCTCTGTGCTCAGTTTTCCATGACGTGACGTTGCCTCAGGCAGAAACAACTCTATGTTTCTCAGTGACAAGTGCACTACCTAACTACTCAGGAACCCACCGCTCAGACTCAACACCCTCTGACTGTACAGTAAGATTAACTCCTAGTTTGACAAAAAAAAATAGCTCAGCTGGAAGAAAATAAAATCATGCTTTCAGAAACTAAAGGGTGGAAATTTCTCCAGAATCTTTAAGGTTTTTATTTCTTTTGCTGATGAAACTGGTCAAAAAGCTCCTTTCTGAATACAACCTGACACAGTTAAAAGTTTAATCTCTTTTTTTTAAGTTCTCTTTTAATTGTTACCACTGGTTCATTGTCAATTTTACAAAGAAAATAATCGTTTTAAGAATTAACATATCCCTTTTAAACTTAATATATATTTTCTCTAGATAAAGGGATAAAGAGAGCTCCATTCAGCTTCCTAAAATATTTAAAAGTCCCAAATTAATCTTATAGTCATGTTTTTGGACCGTGGGACAAAGGTGGATTCCTCAGAGATCCCACATGGGGAGAAACTCCATTCAGAGAGACCCTATAGGCCTGAGATCAAACCCAAGGCCTTCTTGCTGCAAGGCAAGAGCGCTACAAACTGCAGCACCTTGCAGCTATGAACAATAAAAAGTACTTCATAGAAGATGAGAGGAGGGGATGTTGTTTTATGACCAACGTCTGCTTTAGTTATCTTGAAAACCTTTTTTGCTGTAAACCCTGGTGTATTCCTTTGTCTGCACTAATATTCTGTTATAAAACACTTCAAAAGGCCCCATTTCTTCGCACTGGTTTTTATTTATGGCTTTTTGCACAGCAGAAAAAAATTGTTATTTTCCTCTTTGTATTGTTCCACAGCAATAAACCTCTTTAAAAATATTAGGTTTGTGGTTGTAATATGACAAATGGGCAAAATGTCCAAAGTGCATTTTATTTTATTCAAAATATGAACAAAAACTCTTTTTAAAGGAATGCATTGCTGACCCTGAAAATTAATCTAGGATTTGAATGAGAAGACAAGAAAAATCATGTCTGTGAGATCCACCGAAACACCCTCATATTGCATTTTTCTTTCTCATCCTGCACTAATTCCCTCTGTCAGGACAAATCATTACAAGACTCATTCATTCTTACACCATCGGCTATGATGAGAAATCCAGTGTAATATACTTGGAAGGTCATAATTGCTTTCAATGAACCATAATGAACTACATCTTTAATTCATATTGTTTACGATGTTTCTTTTTCTACTCTTCTCAGACTTAAATTACCCACTTCTAGAGCAAATAAACCAGAGTGATTACGCTTGTGTTTTACTGACGCAGAGTTTGCTTGGCAGGAATCTTTGGTGCTTCTCTGGTCCAAGAAATGAGCCACATGCAGTGCTTCAAGAAAAACCCAGAACACGACCAAGGAGGAGGGAAAATGTCTTGAAACTAAGGCGGAAGGTTGGCCAGAGTAAACTGTGCCTGGAAGCGTGTTTCCATGTCTACACCCATGTCTTCCTGTGTGTCATGTATGTCCCTAACACAGCAAACGGAGGTGGAAAACGTGCTTACAGGAAGACTTAAAAGGAAAAAAAAAAACAGTGAACACAACAAAGTCCTGCTGAACTCACCATGGAAGACACAAACCACTTCATAATTTTCTATAGAGTCATCCAAACTAATAACTCCTTGTGGAAATATTCCCTTGACATTACATGAGTGACTGTCTTATAAATATGTTCCACATATGTTCCACTTTCCCTTCTCAAAGGATCAACATAAGTGATAAGCTTGAGGACAAAACAGCTGCCAACATGTTTGATCATATAACCTCAGTGGTGCAGCCTCCAAAAGTATTGTGGGTGTTGCATTATCGCTTAAATTGAAGAAATCAAGTCAGCTACATTTAATGCTTATCCAGAGGGATTTCTGTCAAGTCAACGAGTTGATGCAATCAGCTGGTTTTCCTTAGAAAACTTTGCCCCTATCTGACTACATGATGTGCTTGAATTATCTCTGTAAAGTACCTTGAGATTTGATGTGTTGTGAATTGGCGCTATATCAATAAATTGCATTAATCTGCATTAAATTGAATGAAAGTTTTAATTAAAGTATTAATTAGCTTATTTGAAATAAATTTGTAATACAGTAAGTACTCCATAAAACTAGAATAATTACTGTCATGATCTGGAATGTTTGCTCCTCCATAATTAGTAATTCCTCTCACCTGCCGTTTTCCCTCCCTGCCTCAATTACAATTTATTCCCCTCACCTGTTTCCTTTGTGTTTGTCTCGTCTCCTGATCGTCCACTGTTCCTCCCCCGTGGAGTCCTCTGGGTTTTTGGTTCAATATGTGGGGAGGTTCAGTTTTTATCCAGTAAGCCTGGCTCCAGGGAGGAGACCGCTTTAAAGTCCTGCTTCAAGTTCTGGTTCCTACGTCCTGTCTCGGCTACCCTCTTCCACTGAGCCTGCCTGTCTGCACCTGATCCTGTCTGCTCCTGTGCGTGACCACCTGGTCATGCTTCTGGTCCCAATCAGACTCTGAACCCTCCTGGGAGCCTGTGGATGTCTGGAAGTCTGGATCCTGCCACCTGTTTCTGTTCCTGCCTGATCTGGATCCTGCCTGTTCTGTCTGTTCCTGTTCTGTTCTGGATCCCTGACCAGGATCGGCTTCCAGCATGACCTCTGGGACTGCAGCACTGGGGACATTCTTGGTCTGGACTGTTAAACCAGGTAAGTGACCAACTCAGATAATCTTCTGTCAGATGATCGTGGTCACTTACCTGTGTTTCTCCCACTACAGAGTGTCTGAGATTGGGCGGTGCCCCGCCCCCCCCCACCTGCAGTGTCCGCGAGCCACAGCTCCACTTTAGTTTTGTTTATTTAATAAATGTTTTGAACTTTCCTACTGACTGTCTCTCCATGAATACTGGGTCCACCTGTCCTCAGTTCATGACAAATTACTATCTTCCTTGCAGAAGATACTGTTCAGAATAATATATAGCTGCAATCAAGAGAGGCTTAGTTCATTGTTTTTATTTCCTTCATTGAAGCTATTAAATCCAGAATAAAATTACATTTTTTCAAATATAACATAGAAGCTCCATCATACATCACTGATCTAATTGTAAAATATTTTTCTAACAGAGCGATTTGCTTTGACACTTCAGGTTTACTGGTGGTTCCTGGAGAACTTGAAACTTGAATGAAAGGCAGATCTTTTAATTTTCACACTGCAAAAATGTAAATATTATAAGTAAATTTTTCTTGAAGTATTTGTATTTAGTTAGACGATTAGCCCATTGAATGATTTTGTTAATGTTTACATTAAAAAAAAACAGTCTTATCTTATTTTAGGTGTATAATATCTAATTATCATATTTTAAATGAAAAAATACTAATTCCATTGGCAGATCATCATTTTACCTGCTCAGATTAGGGACAAATGCACCTATTTGATTGGTTTAAGAACTGTATTTTTTCTCCTGTGGAAACAAACCAACCAAAGTTACATTCTGTGAGTGTCTTTTTTTTTAAGACTAGCCTTAGGTTTTCTCTGAGCTGTCTTTTTAGTTTTGCTGCTATGAGCTTATGCTGTTGGAGGGCACAGAGGCCCTTTTTTCTCACTCTCCTACTTTAACCTACTACTCTCCATTTTGGCCTTATTTGCCGTGATTGCTGATTATATCCTTTATTTTTTTCATTTATTTTATCCTGCTTACCTGTTTTCTGGTACAGATTGTAATATAGATTATAAATGAGGGAAAGCATGCACTTTTTGTTACACGTAAGCTATTTTCGTACCATGTTTTTTGTGTTTTCTGTGGCAGCTCTGCCTTTTTAAATCCTCAGTCCATAGAGGCTGAAAGCTACTTACCCTGGGCCTGGCTATGGTAAGTTTATTTCTGTTAATGAGTCTTATTTTCCACTGTCACCATAAGTATTCTCATTAAGAGTGATTGCTGCAAAGTTGATGGCTGGATACAATCAATCTTCCACAGGTGCCACATGTTGGCTCAGGCAGAGGGTTTGCTGCAAGGTCAGTGATTCAACGTATTCAGGTGGATTTCCAAGGTTAGAAAACTTTTTTTGATTAATATAAAATTAACTTAACCTGACCATATAGTTTTACAATAAACCTTTGAGCCTTCTTTTTTTTCTTTGTTTTTTCAGACATTTGTTATTAACTGGTACTTTCTAAATAAATTCCATTAAAAGGAAGGACATTTCTAAAAAAAATAGTGTAACACTTCTTCTAGGACTTTAGGATTCTTGTTTACACCCGTTTCATTGTTTTTCATGCCGTTCTGAGCAGCTCTCTCAGCAGCAAACCCCCACATTCCAGAAGAAGTCGCAGACTCAACAAGCATGAAATTCATTTCTCACATGGCCGCATCTGTGCCTCCTAATCATAACCTGGACTGACAATTCAATCCCATACTCCATCGCCTGCTTCCTTCTCCCCACTCACCCCATGTTTCCTGGACAACCTCCTCACCTCCCGCTGCCTCCTTTACTCTTCCCAATTACGACCCAGCCGCCCTGACCCACCTACTCATTAGGCCTTATAAGAAAAAGGAAAAACAGAAAAAAATACAAATTAATTAGAAATGTCAACTGTAATTACAGTAATGGCCATAAGGGAGTCAGTGACCCGGTTCCTCCCTGCAAGTCAAACTAGCACACATCCAGAGAGCACACCCAGCTCCAGGCCTGCGCGACAAAGACCACATTGGGGTGAAGTTTGGGTGCCGGATGTGGTGTCAAGGTCAGCCTTAACTCCCTGACTAATGGCTGGTCAGAGCGGGTAATTAGGCCGAGAGGCGGAACTGGCGAGTCCGCCTGGATTCCCTAGAGAGACACTTTTGCTGGGCAGCAATTTATCATTTGTGTGCCTCGACATATCCAAAACTGATAAATGTGTGAGGCCAGGTAAATGGGTGGATTAGAGCAGAGCCTAATTACAGCAGTGCTGCTGTTGCATTGCCAGGAATATATATACAGAGCTGCAGCTTATTTCTACCTAATCCTTGATCCCTTGACTCGCATGCGAGGGAGGCGGAGGAATGGTTGGAGGTCAGAGTAAGCCACTCAGTGTGAGCATGCAGCCAACCTTAAAAAATCCTCAGCTTGATGTTAAACATATTTATAGGTATACAAATAATGACTGAAAGTCAGTTAAGCCAACCTGGGAAAGTGTTGAAACCTGGATAACACCTATAAAAATAACAAAAAAAAACATTACAATACAGATTGTTACTCAAATAACAGTTGCTTACTACTTCCTAATTCCAGTTAAAACACATATGCATATTTCATTATTTTCTTCAAATTAGCTTAAAATTCTGAACTCAACTTAACTGAAGCTGGCTTCTACCCAGCACCAACATGTTAAAGAAAAACCTTACAGCAGGGTAGCAAAAAGGCATGACTTAGGGCCTTTACGCACCTCTTGTTAGTTTACTTTTGTCATAATCAGCTGACGACCTCAATAAAGCTCAAGGCAATCCAAAAACTGTAACTTCAAACCGTGAAAAAAACAGGCAGTCAGATTATCGGTTTAATATGTCCGGAGCAGGACAGCCAAATGTGAATACAGGAAGCAGATGTTGCTTTCTGTGCTGGGAGAAATCACTGAGGATTTAATTAAGTCATTAGTGTGTTTCTAGGTACTGTTTTGTCTTAGATTATCTCTGAAATGCACCAAAGGTTTTTAAGGACATCTTGAAACTTGTAAAGGACCTTAGGCTATGCAAAAAAAATCCCACAATTCGCTAGCTAAACCCAAGCCAGTAAATTCATTTGAATCATCCTTGAAAATCTTTTCAAAGTTCAATTTCAATCTCAAGAGGATATTTAAAAAGAAATAAAGGCGCTAACACTTTTCTATTCAAAGGTCTTGACCAAAGAGCTTTACACTATTCACCCATTCACACACAAACTCACACACTGATGGTGGCAAACTACATTGTAGCCACAGCTGCCCTGGGGCTCACTGACAGAGGCAAGGCTGCCATACAATGGTGCCACCTGGCCTTCTGACCACCGTCAGTAAGCAATATACAACGACACTGAAAGCTGTAGTTGGGGCTGGAAACAACAACCCACCGGTTGCAGGGCAAACTCATTCAACAAGAAGCATAAGCTTTAGAAAAGCCAAATTTCTGATGTAATTTTAATCTATAAAAATACTAAAAAGGCAGCTATAAAGAGCTAAAGTAGTTTTATTAATAGCAAACTGCACCCTGAAATGAACCGGAAACACGGCTTAAAAAGCGCCCTTGCACAGTGCTAATAAAGCACTCCTTTTTTTTCATTCTGGCTAAACCTGAGCATGATTGCATCGGGGCTCTCTCAGATTTGTGATGATGAAGCGTTGTAAGTCAAAAGCTGCAGTCCAGAACTGTACAACACACGTCTTTACCAGGACTGATCAAAGGAGGAGTCTGCTGGTGTGAGTCTTTGTGTGTTGAGAGCGTGTTGTGTCAGTGCAGGCCACAGCCAGGGTGCTCTGGCAGCTCTGGCAGCTCTTGCTCCTTGGATTAATGCCGATTGTTTGGGAATGACTCGGAGCTCCGGACCACACAGGAAGAAGGAGGGGGGGTACGCCGACCTGCACTGGACTAAAAAAGAGTCTTTAGAGAGTTTTTAGCAAGAAGCTTCCCTCTACATCAACTATTTCCTTTAGTTCTCCATCTTTGTGCACCAACCACATAAACTCCCTCTCTTTGTGTACATCTCCCAGCCTTTTGATTCATATTTTCTTTCACAATTTCAACTCAGCTTTACTCATGCTCTTTATTTCATGGAGTCAGCATTAAACTGTACTTCCTAAAACACAGCAACGTGGAAAATCTGTGTATTATGTTTGAGTGTTTTGTATCTGTGCATGTTTTGTGGGAGGTCTGCTGCACAGTGAGGGAGACACTGAGGGAGGGATATGAGGAGGACAACAATTCATCAAAAAAGATGTTGGTTTTAATTAGTCGAAGTCTTGCTAAAAGCATTGCTGTTTTTTGATTAGACTCATAAGAGGCAGGCAATGTTTTT